GTGAGAGTCTTGCCTTTCGCTCTGGGCTATTGGTTCACTTAATCCGGTCAATTTGTTCGGTGTTCGTGGTTTTCTTTCTCTCGTCACCCTCCTTCCCCCTGTTTTGTTTTGTTGTGCTTGCTTTTGGGGGGGATGCTTCTTCCCTCCCGCAGAAGAGCTGGAATTGCTTGAGAGGCGTTTAAGGAATTATAAAAGTGGCCAGCAAACAGGAGCTCAGTAATTGCGAAGCTACTCTTGCTTCAGAGAGGTAGAGAGAGCGACAGAGGGCTAGGGGGCAGGGGGGTCAGGGGGTCTCATTTTTCCTGTGCGTTACTCTTCTCCCAGTTTGGATGATGTTGCTGAGCTCGGACCTTTTGTTGACTCCCACTCTGTGATTTTTGCAGAGCACTGTGACTATTACTACCATCTCTTTTTGTCTGTGTCTCACAGTAATGGACTGTGATAGAGTTAAGGCCTTTTGGAGGTGAGCTGTTTGAGAGCTGATGCTTAAACATGTCTGAAGTAGCTGCCGACACTTTCCCCAGCCCCTCAGCTCAGCTGAGCCCTGATGCATCCCTTGACGGGCTCCCGGCTGAGGAGAACATGCCGGGGACCCAAAGAGAGGACAGGAGGGTCCAGGGGATAGCAGGCCTTGCCGCGACCTGCTGTGTGTGCCTGGAGGCAGAGCGACTGAAGGGCTGCCTCAACTCTGAAAAGATCTGCATCGCCCCTATCCTGGCTTGCCTGCTCAGCCTTTGCCTCTGCATTGCTGGCCTCAAGTGGGTCTTTGTGGACAAGATTTTTGAGTATGACTCTCCTACCCACCTTGACCCTGGGAGGATAGGACAAGACCCAAAGAGCGCTGTGGATCCTACAGCTCTGTCTGCCTGGGTGCCTTCGGAGGTGTATGCCTCACCCTTCCCTGTACCTAGCCCCAAGAGCAAGGCTGAAGTGACAGTGCAAAGTGACAGCTGGCTCGTCCCCTCCAAACCGTTCCTCCAGCCTTCTCTGTATAACCGCATCCTAGATGTTGGGTTGTTGTCCTCTGCCGCACCTTCGCTGTCACCACCCGCCCTGGAGTCCACCACAGCGTCTCAGGCGCAAGCAACAGAAACCAATCTCCAAACTGCTCCAAAACTTTGTAAGTAGAAGCTATGTGTTTCTTTGTTTTTCCTTCCACACACACGAAAAAAAAAAAAAAGGCACTTAACTGTTCTGCAGCTGTCCTCAAGGACGACATGTGATTGGCATGCAAAGCTTAAATGTGCTAAGACAGATATGGCATGGGTTACCTTCTGAGGAGAGCACCTAGGGGCCTCTGAACTTAGTTCTGAGGTGTGCGTGGCAATGAAGAGGGCTTCATTTGGGAGCTTTGTAAAGCACCAGTACCACCCTTTTCTCTGCATCCACTTGTACGGAAGTATGTGATTTACTTCAACGGTTTATCTGATAGCTATTCCACATGGTCTATCAGCATATTTTTCTTATAAATTTGATTTGCGTCCTGTGCTGGATCTTCCATGTGTGTTCATTTTCTTTGCCTTGCCTGCAGAGCACTTCTGCTACCTCCTTCCTGAAGTCTGTTGCTGGCAAACATCCCTGTCATCCTCCTGAAACACTCAGGGAGAACAGTGGGAAAGAGCGACAGAGTATTTGAAGCAGTTAGAGACTGGGAATTATTAATTTAGCAGTTAGCTTATGATCTTTCCCTTCCTCTAAAGAGCATAGCACACATTTCTCTGCATCTTTCCCCTCCTCTAAGAGCTGATTCTTGTTGAACCTGTTTCTCAGACATTGCCTCATTGACTTTTGTGGGACATTTCAGGAAAGCATTCTTGCTGATCCAGGAGGAGTCAGTTTCCAAATTAGTCTTTGCTCATTCTTAAAGCAAAAAATATTCAGGGTACCTGGATTATTTTCCCAGTAGCGGTCATAAAGCATCAAAATACCGCATTGCTGAAGTGTAATTTCTTTGACATTCATCATTTTAACCCATCAAATCCAGAGCAGTCAAGCCAGCAATTCCCAAGCTGTGTAAAATTGTGCAACTCTAGTAAAAGAGAAGGCAGCGCGCCGTTGTGTTGAGAGCACAGGGCTGAGGTTTCCTTTGGAAAGCTGCAGTGATCAGAACGAGCAGCTGTGTTCCTTGCAAATTGCCTTGCAGGACCCCATCTCATTTATTCTCTCTTGTGCATTCCCTTAATGCCGCAGGATGGCCACCTTGTAGGTGGTACATACTGGACCTCACCCTGGAGCCCTGAAGTCACCAGAAGTTTGCTACTGAGATTAGCCCCACCAGGACTGGACTCAGTATAGATATGTGGCAATTGGATTAGGTATAACATTTTGGGCCAACCACCTTGTCGGTGAAAATGAGCGTAACTACAGTGGAGGTCCTTTCAGCTGAGAGTCAGTCTTGAACAGCAATTCCAGAATCACTGAAAGAAAATTTTAAGTATTCCTGTAGAAGCCCTGCTGCCTTTTGCTTAGATAATGGGTGACAACCACCCTTTGGATTAAAAGAATTTGTCTGATGGAAACAGTCTAATAGGGAAATATTGCTGTGCAGTTAAATGACAGGGGGCTTTGTCTGTGGTAAGTAAGACATTACTTGAATTATTGAGACACTTAACCACCTTTGCAGTTATATGGAACTATACTAAGTGATTTTTTTTTATCGCTGATGCAGAAAACCTTTTTTTGTAGTGCAAATATCATAAGTGACATTAAAGATATGGCAGCACTTTTTACTTCATAAAGTGACCAGGGACAACCATCCAGTCAAAATGGCCTCTTTTGTGTGAGAGGGAGAAGCACCCAAAAGCTAGTTATGCCTTGTGGCATAACTGAGGTGGACAACCCTCATCCTCTTGAATTTCTACATGGGAGGCAAGCCTTTATCAGTAACATGCTACTTCATCTCTGAATTAAAGGAAGGGGGCTGAAAAAAGAGATTCTTTGGAGCAGTCATCCGCAAAAATTATCTGCATTCAGATCTGCTCACATCTGGGAAATTAATGGTTGTCCAGAAATTAGGTGATTGGTTTGAGTTGGGTTTTTTGCTGTTGCCTTAATTTTTTTAAGATAAATGTGTTTTAAGGCATCATAGACTTCCAGATAGATACAGACTGAAAGGAGAGGGAGAACTGGCAGCAGGTCAAGTTTGGGTTGCTCTGAGGGAGAAGGTTGTGTAGACAGTATTTATTCTTACTGTGGCATATAATTCTGATTATGGCAAGGGGCAGCAATTCCCTGCAAAGAAAAATAAGAAAATATAGCTGGAAAAGTACACTGCAGAAGATCTGCCTAAGAATTCAAAGAGGCATGAAAAGAACTTTTTGGACAGCTCTAAAAGCACTGTCTTGGGGTTTTTGAAACAGCTGCATTTCAAACACATCATTGTGTTTTATGTAGAGCAAGATTTGTTGGAGAGGTTGACAGATTGCATCAGTGATAACTTTTTTTTTTTACGAATGCCTCTGACAGCTATAAATTCTCAGAGAGATGGCTTGGAAAGTAGCATCTGCAAATTGGATTGTCCCTTCTTTTGCCTCTCAGTGTTCTTTCTTCCATTTCAGGCAGAGTGAGGTAACTTGTTCCCAGAAAGCCCCTTTTGTGCTGATAATTTTTTTTTTCCAGTGCAGGAATAAAAAAGAACTGACACATCTCATATTCTGTGGCCGATGTATTGTTTCTGAACCAAGCCCTTCCATGAGTTTCCAAATCATTTTCTGTCCTTCTCCTCCTCTCTTTTCTGTCTTACTCAGCATATTCCCCTTAAAGCTGTATCCTTCAAGGTCATGGTCTGCAGAGAGCTAATTGATTCTTCTTTCTCCTGGAGCCTGGGAGAGAAAGCAGAAGAGAGACAATCCTAGTAATTGTGTCTGGTGCATTAGATTGAAGACTGGTCTCAATCCTGTTATTATACTTCGCCCTTTATCAATCCAGAAATAATCTCTTCCTTTCTGTTTGGTTTACGTTTTATATTGTAATATCATTTCTCCTTTGCTGAAACAGAACGGAAAGGTGAATGTTTTAAAGCATTCCCATATTTAGGGAGCGTGTCAATCTTAGCATAACTACACCAGAGAAGATTTCATTACAAGCGGGATATAATATTACGCGCTAACCTACAATCTCCCTCCCTCAGAGAAGACAAGCGGATTATAAAAGTGCTAACACAGTTTGGTAGCTAAATTTTACTTCTTCCTACACCATCACCTTTAAATACAATTCCACCCTTTACCCAGGCTGGTAATAGATGCAGTAATAGTACTGTCAAAACTGTGTTTCTGTAATAACTGCTTCTATACGTCTGCAAACCAGCCACTGCCCTCTTTAGAGGTCTTCCCACCGCCTTCTCTTTCCATTTAAGCAGATTTCCCCCAAAACCACCCGCCAAGGTCTGTGGGGGGTTGCCTTTCTGAGGTGACAGCTCTGCCAAAGGATGCAGCGCTCCTGCGTTTTGGCTCTGCCCCGAAGCAGAGGTTCCCGAGCCCTTGCCTTTGGGATCACAACTCTCCTGAGTTGGTGAGGTACCACGGGGCACACAGGAGGCAGAGCAGGAGATAGACCTCAGCATGAGGACTTTGCTGGAGTGGGTTTCCCTATGAGCAGAGCAAAAGGCCCAGCAGAGAGCAGGGTCCAGAGGATGCACCTCCCGGGCGGCACAGCCCTGCTGCCCCTGCGTCCTTTCCACTTTCGGCTTCCCTGGCCACCTCGGGTGCCATGCGCTGACGCGCCAGCTGCACACCTCACGCCACGCTGGTGGCCAGCAAGTGACCAACAGGCACATCTGCATCTCCCTACCTCTGTGCCCACCGAGTTGTGCTGGCCATGACATGCAGCGGTGGGCGGGTGGGTGCAGCACCGGACCTGTGCATGCCCGTCAGGGGCAGGCAGGGCTCCCTCCTACCTCACCGGTGCCAGCCCTCGCCTGGAAAACATGGCAAAGCAGAGAAATGGCTGTTCACTGCTGTCAGCCACCCCTGACTGGGACTGCTCCCTTCTTGTGTTCCTGATTTCTGCTGCCACTTCAGGTGTACTGGGCCAGCATCAGCAAAGGCTGCTGCTTTCTCATCCTCGGTGGAAAAAGTGTTAAAAGAGTGCCTCTGAGGACTGGTAGTGGGTGTTTATCTGGGAAATGGTCTCAACTCCCCTCCAAAGTTATCCAGGCACAATGGCTGAATTTCTTCTGTCTTTTTAGAGGTAGAGATGGGAAAAATGGGAAGAAAACTAACCTGTCCCTTGTTTTGGTATCATACTGTAAATATTCCTTGCAGTTTCTCTCTGCCTCTTTCACCTCCACTTGTTCTTTCTCAGCTCTGCATTTGGTGTCCCTTCTCCTATGCGCAGTGATTTGTGAAAGTCTGTATTTTATCTCTGTGGCAGGCTGGAGGGAGCCTTTCCCTCCAGTTATAGGTGCTGCAGCCCAGCTGAAGGTTTCGATTTATGGACAGCGAGGGTTCACAGCAGCTTCGCAGGGTGTTTGTTCTTTTTCTTGAAACAGTCTAATTCTGACCCGTGCTCTGCAGTTCAAATCCCCATCACAATGCCGTAGGGTTGAGTCCATGCCTGGCAGCCTCTGACAGTGTCAAGGTCAGGGATGTCTCAGAGAGCCGCAGGGGACTGTACTCACAAGAGGGGAGAGCAGATGATACCGCACAGGCTGTATACCAGCCTTTTCTACGCTCACTCTTATTATGCAGGGCTGCACAAGGGAGATTGCTTTTTCCCCAAAGCTTGAAGATGCACCTTAAAGCAGGTGTTGCTCCATTTCTGATACAGTATTGATGTTGATTAGCTTCAGACAGCTGACTTAAGTGCCTACATTAGGAAGCTAGGCAGCCTTCCTATTCAGCGTAAAGGGAGAGACCACCGCCAGGTGACTCCCAACGTGAGTCTAGCAGGAGCAACTCTCTTTCTCCAATGAGTGTATAGGGAGGCTAGCCTTGCAATTCAGTTTCTAAGTTGAATGTCTGCTACACGATATGAAGACTCATTTTGAAAGCCATGACTTTTCTTTGAGGTGTCCTGTGAATTAACAATGTCTTGTCACAGGGAAGTTATAATTAATCACGGTTAAGATACCAGACAAGTTCTGAGCCTAACCCAAGAGCATAATAAAGAGATGCTGATCTC